AACATGGTGAATATACTAAAAACTACTAAATACACTTTAAAACTGAATTTTATGCTACATGGATTTTATCTCAATAGAAAAGATACAAAAATCAACAAAAGGTAACCTCTAAGAACTTACAGCTAGAAAATGATGGAACCAAGTCTACAACACAGTTCAACTTTTTCTCTTAGACAGTATGCCAAAAAGTGTGATTTCGTAAACCTGAGATTGGACCTGGACATCTACATTTTAAAAATCTCCAGATACAGGTCCTGCATCCACCTCTCTACCTTCTCTTTTATCTGAATTTTTGCAGTATATTTGCAGTTAATTAGTGCTGTACATTGAAGCCCATTAAATGCTGTAGGAGGTACATGGAGCTTATCTGAATTCTTTCCCAGAATGTAGGAAATTGATGCCTAACTCAGAGCCTGAAGCTGGATGACCAGGCTTTCAGAAGGTATTGGAGTTTTAGCCATTTTGGGTTTCTGGTTTTGTTTGATAATTTGAAAATTAAGCTCCATCATATTGCAAGATATCCTCCTCCTTTTGGAAATAATATTCTGTTCTCTGAACCCTTCAGCCTTTGACCATAGAGCACCAAGTCAAGGAGAATCTGTGATAAGGAAAAATTAGGGAGGCACTCTTGTCTGGCTTGGTTTTCCTTCCCCATCCCTGTGGGACACAGTGACTACATAGTGACTGTCTGCTTTGTTCTGAGGAGGATGTGTCCTGCCAGTACATGGGTGTGGTTTAAACATTCGTGAGCTTACACTTTGCCACTGCATTTGTGCCATAACCTGTCAGGGTGAACCTGAGGTCCTTCTGCCCTTCAGTTGGCAGCTAGCATCCTGTATCATTAAAATATGTAAGTAATTTCTTTCAAGCTACTTATTTAAGATGTGAAGCCAGTCTTGCTACTTAAGGTCAGAAAATGATGAAGACCACTTTTATGGCCTGGGAGCATCATGTATTGAACTGCCTCTTGGTGCCTAGCATGTTAAGTACCTATGTCTGCTATTCACAAGCACTCTCACGGGCACATGTGACTATCTCCAGTTCTTGTAGAAGGACTAATGATAATCACCAGTTGTGTTGAGTTGCAGTGAGACTGTTTTTCACTTTCACTAGCTTATTATAAAGAACACAAATAAATAGCCAGATGAAGAGGTACAGAGGATGAAGTCCATAAGGATCTCGAATACAGGAGTTTCTGTCCCCACGGAATTGGAATATGCCATTCTCCTGCCAAACCCCTACATTTAGGGGGTTTTGTGGATGCTCTGTTACATGATATGATTAAACAAATCATTGCCATTATTGATTAACTCAATTCTAGCCCCTCTTCCCTCCCCAGAGGGAGGGAAGGAGGGAGAGTAGGAGGAGGAAGGGGGGATGGGGTTGAAAGTTCCAGTTGGTTCCAAAATGAGACTTTTAAAAAAGAGATACTCCATGAATGGTGTTTAATAGTGAGTGACTGAGACAGAGAAAATACTCAGTCACAGACTAGCTCATTGTTTGTTTTCTGAAGGTCTCATAAGGACAAGTGGCTGGTGGAGAAGTAATTTCCCCTTCTGTTTGGAGGGCTTACAAAGTAATTTCAGTGATAATCAGATTTACACTTGTGCTTCACTTTCCAGTTAGTAGGACTTTTATCTATAGCACCTCATGAGATGCTCCTCAAGGTTAGAAAATGTCCTCATTTGAGATGAGTATGTGCTGTTCACAAAAGGCCTGTGGCCTGCCCAAGGTCACACATCTAGTGAGGTTTAGAGCCAAAATACGATGTGTTTTTTTACTCCTAAGCCCATGCCAGCTACAACAGGAAGGAAGGAAGAGGGAGACAGAGAAGCCTCTGCCCTCCAGGTGTCGTGGCAGGTAGTGGCAGCTCTGTGTCCATCCGCTCATAGCTGCAACTGTGAACCTCTCGAGAGAGAAGCATAGAGAAACTAGCCACCAGAGGAACCAGCCAGTGACATGTTGGCATTTGCTTTTTGTGACATTGCTAATAAGGTACAAGTGATTTATGGTCATTTTGTTCCTCCTCTTTCTTACCAATACTTTAATTTTGGTTCATTTTAGTAACATACGGTCTTTTTTAGAAAAGAAACTAGAAAGTGATGCTAAAGAAAAAGGAAAATACCCTGTAATCTCCTGACTCAGAAGTGCTAGATGTATGGATCTCTTTCATTTACAACATTGGGATGGTACTGCAGGTGGAATGTTGAGATCTTTGTGCTGCTTTTTCCTAGAGCAGCAGCACCCAATAGAATTTCCCGCAGTGATGGCAGTGTTTGTGTCCCTCCTCACCATGGCTTGAAAAGGAACAAGCACCTGGAAATACTGTAGCATGGCTAAAGCCTAAAGTTTTTAAGGGAAACTGGTAGGAGACAAAACTAGAAACGAATTCAAGGGCCAGAGCATTTAAAAAGTCTTTAATTCTGTGCAGAGAAATTTAACTCACATCTCTATAGGCAGGGGCGAAAGCTAACTGTTAAAAAAAAAAAGAATTTAAATGTGTTTTCCAATTAAGCAGTTAACAATTCTCTTTTCTCCCATTCTTTTTGATGGAAGACTTTCTAAACTAATGTTGCTCTCATTTTAGAAAACGTTTTCCACCAAAGATGTCAACCTTAAAGAACATTGGCACTTCAGTCATCATCCTAAATTGTTGATAGTGAATGTACATAGTAAACTTAAAAGAAAATACGGACTCTGAGATGTAAACTAAAATTTCTTGATAGCACTTCATTTGTGGCCACTGAGCATCTGTGTTGTGGCTGGGTCCGTTGTGATGTAGAAATGAGATGATCCTCTTTATTTGTGGGGAGACAGCAGGAGTCTATGGAGAAATGCTGTGGAGGATGGTTAAATAAGTGTATGGGAGGGCAAGGGAATTCTAAACACCAGTGTCCTGCAGTTTGTTGTATACATCTCTAAATTGACATCACTCCCTGTGTGGAGTGTTCCACCCAAGACAAGGAATCTCTTTGCCTGGTAGTTACAAGCCTGGACTCAAAATCAGGCAAACCTGGATCTGAATCCCATCTCTGTGTGAACAGAGCAAGTTAGGTACTCACCCTGTCTTTGAAGAGTGAGCTGAGATGGAAAGCAAGAAGTTAAAGAAAAGGGGAAAACAAATATACAGACAAGAGGGAGAAAGCAGAACAAGGTATCAGACAAGAGAGTTTCAAAGGTATAAACAGGGAGTGTTAGTGTACTAATCGACAGTAAGCTGAACAGACAATAGAGAGACAGAGAGAGGATTGAAAATCAAAGATAAAAAATAAAAAATAAGTATATGAAAGTAATATCTATTTATAAAAATGAATTAAAATAAAATGGAAAATAGAAAATTAAAAAAAAAAAACAAAAAACTTCCAAGTTTATATGCAATGCAATTTCAGTCTTAATAATTTGGATGTCCGTCTCAATCTCCAGTCCTGGAGTTGGTGCCTCAGATGTTGTTCTGTAGTTGTCTCATCAAAGGGGATGCATAAAGTAGAACAAAACTACACTCACACACCCACAGAAGAAAAAAACAACAACAACAACAAAAAAAAAACCCCACCAAGTGTCCCCAGTTCAAATGCAATACAGTTTCAGTAAGTTTTTCGGCTTGCAGGTGTAATTCGGTTGTTCTCTCATGAAAGGTAGGGAGAAAAAGAAAAAAAAGCGTCTGGAGGCAGTTCTGAGAGTGGTATCTGCAACCGTGGCTTGGCTGCCTGCTGCTCTCCGCCTGTAGCTGGCGGCGTTATTTATGCAGATCTCTGGGGTGAGCTTAGCACTCACCTGGTCCCACAGGCTTTGTTTGCTCAGAGTTCTGTGCGGGGGGCTTCTGCTACAGGCTTTCCCCTTTCCAAGCACTGGGAAAGGCGACACTGCCCCGCGTTGTCAGGCCTGCGTGTTTATTTACAGTTCACGTGGGAAGTGGGTCTTCCTTCCTCTCACAAGCGTCCCCGCTCCTGGTTGCTGGGCGCACGCCCCGCTCCCACCAGAGGCTCTCCGGCCCGCCCGGCTTGTTTATTTACAGTCCCGGGAAGGGTTCCCTTCCCCCAATCTTCAGCGCTCAGGGCGCCCCACCCTCTTTCCAGCGTGTCTTAACTGTTCTTATTGCTTACTACTCAGTTTCTCTTTTTTTCCCGGGTGGAGGTCAGTCTGTCCAGGGGGCTATGCTGCTCTGGCCCAGGCTTGTCTGTGGGGGAACCGCGGTACCGCGAAGCTCACCTGGTCCGCGTCTTCCCAAGCCGTATGGGCGCCGGCCACTGGCGGCCCCGGGGGCCTCCTCGGTTCTCCGTTTAACGTGAAGTGGAGATTCTCTGCGCCGGCTCTAGCCGCCATCTTGGAATCCCCCACCCTGTCTTTGAAAAAACAGATGATATTGAAGTACTTAATTCATGAGAGTCTAGCCAATGAGATAACGTGTATAAAGAAGTATGGGGTGCAGTGCTGGCGTGTGACAAATGCTCCCTGAATGTTGGCTCTTATTCAGGTAAAATAGTGCAGTCTTTTTATTGTGTGGTAGGATACAGCTTTCCAATTCTAGTGGTCCCATTGCTATCAGTTGTACTTGAGTTTTGAGTAAGTATTGGAACACAGAGATCTCTGGGGAACTGGAAGAACACTGACCTCCCTCCTGCCGCTACCTCTAATTGAGTCACAAATCTCCTATGGTGTCCAATTTCACTTCACATAAGCCAGTGACTCGTGTGTCTTTCTCTCTTTAATACAAATGACCCAGCAAGAAAGAATTGTTCTTTGGATGGATGGATATACACATTGTGAAATCACCATGTTAGGACTGCAGCTGAAATTTGCAGTGACTGTGATATCTACTATCAGAGGTCAAGTAGCGGCTGTAATGTGTTTCATGTGCATCTCATAAAATGCTGAAATTAGTTTTATACTTTTTTTTTATGTAAAGGAGGGGGTGGAGACAGAGATTTCAGATTTTGCACCTAATTACAGCTTCTTCCCTTTTGACATTGCTGGTAACTGGCCATTGCTTTCCATTGTAGTTTTTTCCAAGACGGCTTGAAAACAGCTGATAAACTGAAACAGTACATCGAGAAACTGGCTGCTGATTTATATAATGTAAGTGTCTACATAGTGCATCCATTTCACCTTGTGCTAAATATCAGTCAATTTGAAATCTGTATTAGAAGGGTATTAAGAGCAGAGAAGGTTGAATGATGTGTCAGTAAAACCTAGGACAGATAAGCTTTCAGTTTAGCTCAGACAAACTAGCCATGGTTAGATATTCCAGAGCACCTTTTGGGGGCAGGGTACAGGATAGTAAATAACCATTGGTCCTAGATGGCTCTCTGTTCAGGGTTTAATAGCTTCACATCAGTGGTCACCAGTTGCAGAATGTTTGATCGTGGAAGGATAAAAATTAAGTAACTGTCTCTGAGTAGGCAGGTTTATGGATTTAGTTTGTTTAATATTTTCTTTTTAGTATCGAGGTTTTTCTGGCCCCTTTTTTATTTCTTTGTTGCCTGTAAGCCACTTGCTAATGAATAATAAGAGTATGTTTTATGAATATGAGTACATATCTTTAAATAAGGTTTGTAGGATTATAAATAATACTTTATTAAGATTAAGCATCCCTGATCCAAACATCCAAAATCCAAAATGCTCCAAAATCTGAAATATGTTGATCCTGACTGATATAACCCTACAAGTAGAAAATTCTACACCTGACCTCCTATGATAGGTTGTAGTCAAAATTTAGTTGTCCTAAAGATATTGTATAAAATTTCCTTTGGCTTGTGTTATAAGGTGTATATGACACAAATGAATTTCATGTTTAGATTTCAGTCCTGTGCTCAAGATATCTCATTAGATATATGCAAACACTCCCAAATCTAGAAAAACATAAATGCTTCTGGTCCTAAGTATTTCAAATAAGGAATGCCCAACCTGTATAACTTTAAAAATATATAGCTTTGTGTGTTTTCTGAGTTTCTTTTAGTAGTTAACATGGTTCAGTTACCATTGATTTCCAAGTGACTAACAATAAGCAGCAGCAATCCCTTGTCCTTGAGTGTAGTGCCATGGAACTTTGCATATGCATTGGCCCACTGAATTTTTGGTTGTTCATGTGGCCCTTATAATCTCACACTGTAGTCTTGCTACCAGCCTTTGAAAAGCCAGAGACAAATGATCTCAATATTACTTCTTAACCCTGTTTAAAATTGTGCTTCAGAATTCGTTGTATTAACTAGGTGTATTATTTAATAAGAAAGCATGGTACATTACTCAGTAATTTTAAAATTCACAGGTACATTCTTAGGATAAGACTGTACCTCTCATATATGAAAGCCTTTAATAAGGAAATGAATTGTGTAATTGAATTGTTTGATGAGTGGTATACTTGGATAAATTAAATTCTGCTTCTAAAGGCATAAATGATAAGTAATAGAAGTAATATTTTTCTTTCATAGATAAAACAGACCCAGGATGAAGAAAAGAAACAGTTAACTGCACTCCGAGACTTAATAAAATCCTCTCTTCAGCTTGATCAGAAGGAAGTAGGTGGTTTACATGTTCCCAGCAGGGCTAACAGTGTAAGTGAGGCCATTTGTGATACTCTTTGTGTTTCCTGATCTGGTAACAGGCACACTGATAGCTTCCTGCCAGGGTGGTTATGTGAGAACTGAGGTTGATGGTGGGAGTAATGAACCTACAGTAAAGTGATACCCAGTATAGAAACTGTGTATGAGTTTCCTTCCCCTCCTAAAAAAATTTAAATAAATAAAAATTTAAAAAGCCAGGCACTGATGTCTCATGCCTTTAATCCAAACTACTCAGGAGGCAGAGATCAGGAGGATTGCAGTTTGAAGCCATCCTGGGCAATAGTTCTCAAGAACCTATCTTGAAAATACCCAATGCAATAAAGGGCTGGCAGAGTGGCTTAAGTGGTAGGGTGCCTGCCTAGAAGGTGTGAAGCCCTAAGTTCAAACCCCAGTACTGCAAAAAAAAAAAAAAAAAGATACTCTTGATCAACAAATTATAACTCTAGATTTTTTTTTTTATTTTGCCTTTGAAGGACAAGCAGTAAACCCATGACGCTCCTCTATAGGCCATCTGTATCTTTCTGAGTAGCCAAAAATGGCATGTTTCATTTTGCCTGGGAAATAAGGAAATACTTTGATGCAGAATTAGGAAAATTAAGTTGAAATGGTCCTAGATATTGACAACAGTCTACAGTGCATGGTAGGTGTTAAGTGAATGCAGTATAGATTCTTCACTATAAATGTTACGTGTTCAGACATTAACACTACAATGTGCTGGGTACTAATCTACATACTTAGCTTCAGTCCCTTCTGTCAAGCAGCTCCTTGTGTAGTCGAGTGACTCACCCAAGTGAACAGTCATGCCTACAGTGGTATTAATGCTATTTGAAATGCACTGGGATGTGGCCTGCAGCCAGACCTAAAACACTCAGAGGTAGAAAACTGCCTGGCATGTTCATGGGTTGCATACAGTTTAGGGCAGGACAGGTGAAGGAGTAGGAAGTGAATTTCTGAGGTAGAAACTCAGAACTGACTATGGAGGACCTTGAATGTTGCATTAAGGGATCTGGACTTCACAATTGGGGTATATTAAATAGTATGCATCATTTGTTACCTGGGAGAAAATCACATGTGCCTGTTTACATTATGAAATTATTATGGATTAAATTTAAGTGAAGTATTAAATGCAATACTTAATAATTACATAAAACATGTTTTTATATTGTCAGTTCCTTTTGATATATCTCAGGAAAGGCATTCATGAGTCCAAACAAAGATGAGAAAACCCACACACACATACCACAACCACCACCACCAAAACACCAACCAACAAACAAAAAAACCCAAGAGACCCTGCACCCGGCAATGCTGGCCTTTACAGCAACCCTGAAGGTTTTCTTCAATGAGCAGATCAACTCTCTATACTTCCCCTTCTTTGAGTGCACATGTGTGGAATTTTGGTCAAATAAGAGAAGTCTGTAGCATTTTAACACTGGCCCCCTGCTTTCTCTGTAGGGTGGTGACCAGAAAGATCTGTACGTTGAGGCAGCATTTGTACCCGGGCAGCTTCAGGCCATGACTGCACCTGGGGTTGTTTTTAGAAGAACTAATATCAAAGACAGAAACATGGATATGCTACAGTCTTTGAAAGTGCTTATTGTTGACATACAAGTCCTAGGAAAAGTGACTTGTCTCTTTGAATGACTTCTCAGTGTAAGAGCAATAGAAAGACCCAAGTGGAGAAGATAAAGGGTAGAAAATTTTGAGAATTTTTACTTGCTAGCATTCACTTAACCACTTCCTATCTTTGTTTAGTCACACAAAGTTACCTCCTTTCTATATATGGACACTTTCTTGAGGAAAAAAAAGTCCCTTTTTGTTTTGCATAGGGATTTATGTATTCTCAGACCAGACACAATGACGTGTACATGATTTGATTCATTTTTAACTCCCCCATTAATAAATGAGTTTTTGTTACCACACCATCACGAGTATTTCCTGAGAAAAATGGATGTTTCACAGTATGTCTGTTCCTTTCTCATGCTGTTTATCAAATCTTATTGCAAAATATCTTTAGAAGGTAATGATTTTTAATGACTTAAATTAGATGTGAGAGCGTATCCACTAGTTCTTGCCATAATCCTTTTGCTGAGGGCTGTACTGGAGTTTGAACTCAGGGTTCAAACTTGCTAGACAGTTGCTTTACCACTTGAGCCACACCCCCAGCCCGGTTTTTTGGTTTCGGTTTTTTCACTTTAATTTTTTTCAGATAGGGTCTTATGTTTTTGCCTCTGGCTGGCCTGAACCACAGTCCTCCTACCTGTGCCTCCCGTGTAGCTGTGCCACTGTGCCTGACCACCACAATCCTACTCTTTGAGAAGAATGTAAAGCAATCTAAAAGATTATCTGAGAAATTACAAACACCCAACAAATGATTTAACCACCAAGTTCTAACATAGCTCCACTAAAGGAAGCTTTAAGAATCTTGGTTGTAAATAGGATCCTGGATTTTTTGAAAGCTCTTTGTTTTGTTTTTAACATTTTTATTAGTGTATGATAGTAATGCAGGGAATTTCATCGTGATATATACATATATTATACCCCAATTTGGTTCATCTTCTTCATTATTCTCCCTCTTACCCCATTCCCCTTCATAAGGGGCTTCATCGTTTCATATTCATACTTACATAGAAAGCACATCAACCATATCCACCATCTTTTAATACTCTTCATTTACTCACCCCCTCCCACGAGTGTCCTCCTCTTAATGTGACCTGTTTTATTCTCTTATCAATATCAAATTAACTTTTTAGGTCAGGGCTGGGTTGTGCCTCAAGTAGTAAAATACTTGTGCAGCAAGGTAACACCCTGAGTTTAGACTCCAGTACAGCCAAAAAGAAAAAGGGTTTTGTGAAATTATCTTGACATTTTATAATAGCCTAACCTCCCAAAAGAACTATTTATTGCCTGTTTTGGGGGTCATAAATATTCTATTTCTGATGGCGATATCTATTAAAAAATTCTAGTTTTTTGGGGGGATTTTGTTTTTTTTTTTTTTTTTTTTTGGTTGAGTCATTGATGGACTCAGACTAGCCTATCATAGTGTAGTTTGCAAGTTTGATGGATTTTTTGTGTTGCCTCTCTTTCTCCATCGCTGGTACCCAGAAACTACTTAACATTTAGTAAGATGAAGCAGAAGGAATCCTTTACCCACTTATAGTAGAAATTTGAAGCTCTGATAATAAGGTTTGGTTTTCAGTTGGATACCAGAAACATTTATAACCCTATTAAATCAGTGAATGTATAATTGCTTGCAGTTTAAAGAGATGTGAGGTTTTATTTCTTAATAATGTATTTTGTATGTGAATACAGTTTCAAATAAGAAAGTGATTTGTCCATACTACTAATAGAGAATAGGACACTGAATTGAAAATTAATAGGATAATTTCATTCTTTAGTTTACATTTTCTAACTACATCATGAAATTTCCCCAATGTTTTAAGTTCTTTGTTTATTTTTAGTGTCATGTATTTTTGCATAAATGAGTTTTTCATGTACTTTTCTCTTTACTGAATACATGGTTGATTTCTGTCATGCTCTCAAGTAAGTCAGGACCTATTTCATTTCTTCAGTTGTATGTGTTCAAATTATGATTAGTGTTGATAATTTCCCAATATCTACTTTCTCATAAAAAGTAAAATCCTCTTTTCATTAACTTGTAGCACTTTCTTAAACAAGCCATTATTCTCAAAGTGCATAAATAATAATTGATGTGGCCTTTTTAAACCATGAAATTCATTAATTGTTAACTTAGCACTGCTTATGCTAGACTTCTGAAACACACTGCTTCCTTTGTGGTCAGCTTAATGAGGTCAAAGCCTAGAGTTCAGCCACTTTTTCACCTTTAGAAGCACATTTGTCTTTTGTACATTGAAACCATTCAAAGTAAGTGTTTGTTATTCAGAATTTAAGGTTAGTTGAAGCTGTTAACAAACATATGTAAAGAATGTCTTCATGCTAAGTTTACAGAATATAGTAGTTGTCATTAATCATTAACATCTGGATCCTTGTTCTTTTTAAAGAATTGTCCGGTTAGGTTTTAGATTTCAGTATTTTGTTTCTGGAAGATAGAAGTCCCTACTTGTAAATCAGTAGTGATTTTCATGCAGTTTTGTTGAATTGAAGCAGAAAAGTCCACAGGTTGCATTTATCCCTGCCCCTTGTTTTGTCCCAGGTCTCAGTTCCCTACTACCCAATTAATTTTTAGTCCAAATTTTTTCTTCTTTGGGGTTATGAATGTACTGGTGGCTCCCTCAAGAAAAACTGTTCTGACTGTTGTTTCTGGGCCTGTGACCAGAGGCACTAGTACAGTAGAGCTGCTGTTCTTGCCTGTCTGATATTTATTCCAGTCCCTTAGTCCTAGCTCTATCTAAAAGGCATGAAAATACCTCTCAGGAGGACGTAGCCAAATTTGAAAAGTAAACAAAGTGACTCAAGAGGCAGGGAGCATGGCTCAAGTGGTAGTGTGCTTGCCTAACATGCAGGAGACAGTCAAGAGTTTGATCTTCAGTACCAGAAAAAAAGAAATTAATACAAGTTGATAACTTCATATGACTCAGCTTGCCTGGTAAAGTGTACAGTCAGTTCTTAGTTACCTGCACAAGAGAGCAGGACAATGAGCCAGAGTCATTGTAGCATGAGCTACAAAGTCCAGGCTGTGTATTCAGGGTCCTTGATTCTTCCAAAGGGGTTCAGGACATGTTTTTGAATGCATGTAGAGTAGCCTTACAAAATTGTATTGTCCTGGCCATTTTCCTTCAGCTGTTAACATTACTTTACATCACTGAGCACATACCGACCTAAAAAGATCCTGAATATCAAAGAAACCATCTTGCCTTAAAGTCATGCTGTACACAGCAATTAGTAAATAACCAAAGTTCACATAGCTTCTTCCTTCGGCATGGTCACATGTCAGGTGCTCCGTATGAAGGAGATACATTTATTAAGTTCTCTTCAGTTGAAAAAACAAAGAGGACTCCCACAATTTGTGGCTCTTACTAGATTTTCCAGGTAACTCATTTGGAGTTTCACTCACTGAGATGCTTACTCCCTGTGTACACACACTTGAGGTTTGTCAATCAGACCTCAAGTGTACCTCATCTTTCTTTTGGTCCTGTGTTTGAACTTAGTTCTCACTCAATATGACCTTAAATAAAACCTGATAGATGTAAAAATGTATTAATGTTCCATCACTCAGAGGTTATCATGATGTAAAGCTGCATGAATATATTCTCTGATGTATCTTCACAGTGATGTTTCTGTGTACATTATATATAAAGTGCTTAAATTCCAAAAGTTATTATGATGCTTAAGGTACGTGTGTATATTCTCTGGTATATTTTTACAATGATGTTTTCTGTGTGTGTTATGTATAAAATGCTTAAGTTATGGGTGATAAAATTTTCGACATAATTAACTATGTTTTCAAATGTTCTGCCTTTTTTCTTTGTTGCTTTTGCCCTTCCTGATCGAAGTCTAGGAGAGTAAGTTAATACTTTTGGTGAGAATGTATTGTCCCACTTGTATGTTTGGAGACACCCATGAACCCCTGCTGCAGTTCAACATTTGCATGATAATAATGGCTGCTTCTGGTCATGCAGACCTCAGAAACTGGTACAGCACAAGATTGTACCTGTATTGTTGCCCTGACCCTGTCATGCTCTTCACCACATCATATGCTTCGCATGCTGTAGCATCATTCTTTTTAAACTAAAAGTTTGATTGTAGGTACATTTCATAGAATACAACAGGTATCTCTCATCTGAAATGCTTAGGACCAAAAGTTTTCAGATTTTAGGGTTTTCTGGATTTTGGAAATTGGCATAGATTTCACCAATTGACTATCCCTAATCCAAAAATTAGAAATCCAAAATACTCCAAAATCCAAAACTTGGGGCATCATGGCAGTATGCAAAAGTTGCAGGTTTTAAATTTTTGAATAAGGGATGTTTAACATGTAGTTTATTACATAACAAGAATTTTAATGATAATTGTTGATACCTCACTCAGAATGTTCCTCTTTTATTTCGAGTACCTTAGCAGAATATGTAAAGGGTACAGAGGTGCATCCTTCGGGAAGAGCACCTCCCATGGACCCTGCTCTGTGGTACACTTCACTCTTCCCACTACTTTCTGGGTTTGCCAGTGCTGCTAGTATGAACTGGCTTGAGTCATAAGAGCCTTCAGGGGCCTTGGCTGTGTTTGAGCTCAGTTCAAAGCTGAGCTGGGTTCTGACCTAGAAATAGGAGACTGGACCTCAGGCCCTAGCTCTGCCTCGGCAGAGCCTTGTCAATCTGGCAGATGTATACCTGGCCAGTTTCCTCTAAAATGAAGGCAAGGACCTGACAGCTCTCAAAGATCCATAATTCTCTCAGATTCAGACCAATGGGCAAAAGCTCAATGACAGAATAAAGTCCAGGATTGAAGAATTGTCTCTAGCTTTTGCTTTAACCTGTAGTGTCTGTTTTCTAGGACTCCCAGAGCCGGCAAGGCGGGTACAGCATGCATCAGCTCCAGGGCAATAAGGAATATGGCAGTGAAAAGAGGGGGTACCTGCTAAAGAAAAGTGATGGGTATGTATGAACCTGGCCCAGCACCTCTGTGTGACCAGCATACTTACTAGGTGCTCGCCACTAGAAACTTCTTCCAGCCTTTGGTTTTCTTCAGATAAGTCTGAGATTTAACTTGCTGTCTTTAAAAGAAGCAGTAATTGTCCTGTGGCCCCCAGATGGTACCTGTGACTTATAACCTGCAAGAACTGGGAAGCCCACTCTCTGCTTCTGTTCATTGCAGCATTCTTTACCTGGGATATCCACTTAGTCACCCAAACACCAAAATGCTGGAGGTCACCCTTGGTCTTTGCCCAGCATCACAGCCAGCCTGACAAAATCCCCTCCTTTTCTGACTCTAAAAATGATATACTCGTTACCATCTCTGCTGCCCCTGCTGTAGGATGGTCTATTGTTATCTCTTCAGACTGTCTTACTCACCTCCTTACTGGTCATCTGTTACTCTTCTCCTTCTCTAGCTCACCTCTACACAGCACTCAGTGGTCTTTCAAAAGCATTAAACATGTGATGTCATTCCCTGCTTAAAATGCTCCAGTTGCTTTCCTTTGCATATAGCACTTTCACTTTCCTCTTGAGCCTCATCATATACCGTTTCCTCTTTGGTCCTGACACACTGGCCTTGTTTCTCGTTGCTTAGACACATGGTTCTCCTTCGCAGTAAGTACCTATGTAGAACCTTGATTATTCTAGATACCAATTGTCAGCCTCTTTTCAAAGAAAGCTTTTCTGGCTGGTTGTGGATATGTGCCCTTCGCCTCATCTAAAATACATACATTTTTTATTTGTTTATTGAAATTGCAATTCTCTCTCTTATAAATGTCTGGGATCACTATTGTTTTTGCCTGTCATTCTTTTTATGCATTCAAAAAGTATCTTTTTGAGAATCCTCTATGTCTAGAATTCAATGTCTTCAGGACACTGGTAATATAGCATTGAGCAAAAGAAAAACATCCTTAAAGAGCTTACATTCTAAGAAAGGAAACAGACAAAAAATCAGTTTTGGGTAGGTAAGAAAGTAATTAGTGCTATGGGAGAAGGGTAGAGCAAGGCAAGAGATACTGGAAGTGAGGGGGCTGGAGGTGGTTCTTGCTATCACTGTGGTGATCAGGGAAGACTACTGAGGTGACATTGAAACAAAGACCTGAATGAAGTACAGGAATGACTATACAGACCTGGAAGAAAGGAGTGTCAGGAGCATGCTTTCTGTCATGATGGATGTGAGTGAATAGTGAGGTGGAGTGTGGTTGGTATCACAGAGCATAAGGTCAGAGGGAATAGGGAGACAAACATGGGGGGATTTGGAAGCTTCTGAGTGAGATGAGGAGTCATTGGAGGGTTTTGAGCAGAGCAGTGTGTAAATTGGACACATTTTGAAAGATTCTCTGGCTACTGTGTAAGAGCAGAAGATGGGAGACCAGTAAGAGACTGCTACAGGAACCCGGATGGGAGATGACAGTAAGACTGGATGGGCCAGTGGTAGAGGTGGTAAAAAAGTGTTCAAATTCTGAATAATGAAGATAAGGCCAACAAGATGTACTGATAGGGATGTAAAGAAAGAAAGGCATCTTCAGCACATGGCACAGTGCCTGACAAGTAAGTCCTGCTGAAAGTAAAAGAAGAAAAGACAGCTTCCCAAATCACAAGTTTAAACTGGCTCTTTTCAACAAAGACCAAATTCTAGCTCATACTATATGAGATTAAGTATATGTAATTTATTGATTTAATAGTCTGATGCTTTTGCCTAAGGCCAGCCTCAAACTGTGATCCTCCTATTTTTACATGTAGTTGAAATTGCAGCATACACTATCACACCTGGTTGGTTCTTTGTTATAAGGTCCTGCTAACTTTTTGTCCAGGCTGGCCTCAAGCCACAGTCCTCCTAATCTCTGCCTTCCATTTTGCTGAGATTACATATGCGAACTACCCTACCAGCTTTGTATGAGGCCACTTTCTAATTGAAAAAGGTCCACCAAAGTGTTCACAAAGATAGGTGCTGTTGCTCTCAACTGCGTAAGGGATATTTTGATATTCTTCTTTCCCTTGGCACTCTGGAAGCACCTCACTAGCAATCTCAATCTGTCAGAATTGTGCTTTCATGTTGCCTTCCTTGGCTTTATTGACTATATAAGAGAATATGGGTATTTTTGTGTTTCCCTAATACAAGTAAGCAAAACTAATGAATAAAGGTTTAACTAGAAAAAATAAAATGAATAGGGACAGTTTCCTCAAGGTCAAATATTCTGTTAGGTCATTTGATATTTCAAAATGTGTTGCTAGAGAAGAATGATACTGGGTTTGGCTTAGTGTGTACAGGGAGTATTCCTCACCCATTTTACCAGGCTTTTGTGATGGTAAGATGAGATGCAAAACCATGTTTAGAGAGCTGATTACATTAACCAAATGGTGATATGATTATCTGACAGGTACGACTTCTAATCACACTTTTCCCTGGTCAGCATTTGAAGTGTGTGATTCAGCTGTAATTTGAGGATGGTTTCTCAATTGCCTCCCGAGGAGACTAGCATTTTGAGCAGAACGTGTTCCGTTTATATCTGGTCAGATGGAGTCAAATTCTCACTTCCCTTTGTGAAGCATACTTTGGAACAGACCGTGCTTCTAGTACTTACTTACATAAGAAGACTGATACCTGTGCTGCTTTTAAATTGGTCTTGTGGCAGTTTTCTTACAGGACTAATTAAAGAAGGAAAAAGAAAACACAAGATATTGTTTTAAAGGCCTGGGAAAGCTACACTGGTCTCCTTTGATGTCATTTGTTTCCATAGCAGCAGAGAGCCTGCTGCCTTGTCCCAGCCCAGGAAGTCTCTGTTCCCTGCCAGTTTCTATCTACCTCATGGCAGTGGTCCCATGTGGTACAGCTGCACCTGCTTGCATGTGTGTAGCTCTGCCCATGTGTCTCTTGCCTGTACCTGGGGCTTCACAAGATGTTCTTCCAAGTTGGAGTTAGGTTGGCTATTTGGCTTTCTTTGTCCTTCAGCAGCATCATAAAATTTTTCTAAGTGTATATCATAAACACTTTGTGAATTTTTCTAAGTGTATATCATGAACGCTTTGTCCATAATTTATTTTCCCATACGAAATAAGGATAGTTCTCTCCAGGGCCTCTGGAGGCTTTTTTTTCTTTTTTTGCTCTGGAAGACCCCTAAAAGGAAGGTATACAAGCCACCAAAAATAATCATGATATATTCTTGAACCTTGAACTTTGAGCTTCTTTCTCTGTGTACTGAGGCAGCCTCACCTCCACCCTTCCCCACATGGCAGACATCTTAACCTTTTTTAATCTGTTGTTAACTGCTACAGAGTTAATTGCAGTCTATCAGCTAATAGAGCCTTCTTATAAAAGACTTACAGATAAGGTTAAAACTCCTTACTAGCACTACTCCTCATACAAGTTGGAGTACTTGTATACACAAGAAGGGTGTACTTCTGCCTATGTGGTCACTGTAATTTGTTTATTCATTTCTCTGCTATTACGTTGCTGCTGTTTGTTTCCTGTTTTCACTATCAAACAGTGTTATATAGAGCATCTTTGTCTACTTGTCTGATTTACCTTTCATCTGGGATAAGAAAAGATAACCAGAATTTTCTGTTTTGTGTGGTTTGGGGGAAGAGATTGGCTTTCTCTACATTGGGATGAATTTTTGTAATTATTATTTTGTATCATACTATATGATGCATGCCCCAGAGCAAATCAGATGCCATATCCAGTACTGTTTGACTTGCTCTCTAGGATCCGGAAAGTATGGCAGAGAAGGAAGTGTGCCGTCAAGAATGGGATTCTGACCATCTCACACGCGACTGTAAGTGCCTAATTTTCCCTGCACATTTTTCATGCTTTTTTGGCCTCTTGAAACAGATGACATATGAGGTAATATACCCAGCATTGGAGTTTTGCCCAAATATCTTTACTATATGGATTTAAACGAGGTCATTTAAGATATTTCATAAAACATTAGTTTTATCTTGTCCTGTGATGGCCTGCATTGTTCTGTGTCTCCACCAGAAACTATGTTTTTTGCTGTCTTAAACTGAATCAAGTACTCTTTGATTTTATAATCTTATAGGTAGTTATTCTAGTTTCATGAATTATAAAGATGATAAGGGGATGTTCTGTGCATGAAAAAGTAATGTAGGAAACAAACCATGCATATAAAAACTCTGTCAAAGACAGTACAGTAAAATAGTTTCTATTTTGCCTTTTTCTTTTTAATTCTCTTAGAAAGGTTGTAATGGAAAGTGTATCCTGCAGGAATGGAAATGGCAAAGTATATACTGAGAGTCTAAAAATATGTGTGCAGTCTATCCCAGTGATAACAGTTTGCAGAAAAAGCTCATTGTTAATCACAGTATCCTGTGCCTGGGGTTGTCCTTGAGTTATGGACAGTGTTAATGCTAACAGGATAGCAGAAGTTACACTGGCAATTTGTCATACTCAGGGCTGAGTTTAGATTTCTCTCTATAGAAGAAGAAAGGAAATACCACTTACCTTCATAAAGCTTATCTCAATTAGTCATCTCAACAGCCCATGTGTCATCATACTCTTCATTTTATAGGTGAAGAAACTGAGGTACAAGAAGAGCTATAACTTGGATAGTAACTGACAGTTGGAAATTCAGACTTGGGTCTGTCTGACATTAGTGCATGTGGTCCTGCTCCTCACTTCTTGCAAAACCCACCATCTGTCTGGACTTTGGGCTTTTCATGGGCCCCCACTGGTCTTTTTTGTCTTTCTGTTTTCAGCCCTAAACACAGACCTTGACACACAGAAGGTGCTCAGTACACACTGTGGCTGAGTCCTGCCTGGTAGATTATTGTGTGCATCTTAAAGATTTCTGTCCTTTATGGGACTTGAAAAGTTGCAGCACCTCTGTCCCTGGCCCCCTACAGAACCCTTGTGAGGCCTCAGAGGCTCCCTCAGCCCCACTGAGCTCTTTAGCTATCGTGCCAGTTGTGACCAGCCACCCATCTGCTATGAGATCCTTCCCACAGAATTGGACCAGTTAATAGTTACCACTGAGACTGTCTAACTCATTTATGCAGCATTCATTTACTAAGCTTCCATTCTCCCATGTGCTGACCTGGACATCAGCGATACATGGGTGGAAAGTTAGATAATTTTGACATATTTAATTCTATGCACAGTTAGAAGTGTGTGTACTAGAGTGGAAATTTCTGACCTTTTGATTGTTTAATTTGAGTTTTTAGTCAAATTTCATTACCTTCTCCTGGAGAGTTCTTTCTGTGGATTTGTCTGGCTATAACCATCTCAGTAGGCATTTTGACAAGTTATGTAAGTGCCTTATGTTCCATGTATGTTATTTTCTTGGGACTCTGCTGTGGAAGGAGTGTAGTGTGCTGGGAGATTGCATAGTAGATAAAGGCATCAGGAGCCCTTCTTACTAGTTATATGACCTTGAGCAGTTGGCTAAAAATAAATAAGCTCTCCTTCCCCCTCCCTTTTTCTTTCCTGCCAAAAGACATTATTGTGGTTAAGCCAACTATTTATATGCATTCTCTCTAATTAACAACAAATATCACATTGGCCACATTGATCAGTGGCTAAGAAAATAGACAGTGGCATCTGTCAGATTTGAGTCTGAATCCCAGCTTTGCTAGTTGCTATGTGATCTTGAGAAAAGTATTTAACTCAACTGAGGATTAAATGAGATAGCATGCTGTGTGTGGGCACACAGTTTTGGGTTGTTATTACTGTTGGCTCATTGATGTCATTGATGTCTATTGACAAGCAGCTCCTACTACAAACAGGGGAGAATGGGTTCCTCCCCTAACTCTGATTCCCTGCCACTGAGTTGTTCTCCACTTTTCACTGGCTTTAGGCCAGGCTTTTTACTGCCAGTTCTGTCACTTGTAATCACATTCTCTGTAGTCAGTTTTAGCTAGCTTTTCTTGACTTTGCAAATACCGTTGATTACAGAGAATTAGATTGAAAATGAAGGCTGGTAGTTTCCTGGGAAAGCATAAAGGGACTCTGTGATCTTTGAAAAGGCGGGGAAAGACGACTTCATTGTCAGAAAACTTGGGGCCCTGTCTAGGACCCCTTAACACTTACACATTCCTCTAGCTTGAAGAGCCCCATCAGAGTCACCTTTGTAAATTGTTCTTATCAGAATTGTTTAGGTATGTACGAAGGGTCAGGTATATACTTAGAGGAATGGTGTAGGATCTGTTGGCTTGACCACCTATGAAGGATCTGTTCCTAGTTATTCACTTCTTCAGTGTATTGTTCTAGAGAGAAATGCTTCCTAGACCTGAAAGATTTACAGCCCATTCCTAGAAGATTTCATCCACAAACCCGTTGCTTTTTATGTATCAGTTCAAAGACACAAAGTTTTTATTTACTATTCGAAGTAATATATCACTGTAGGAATTCAGTGGGAATGTCTGAATTTGCTAATATATTAATAATGATAGCAGCTTCTATCTGTGAACCATTAGTACATTGTACTGCTATTAACCTGTAATCTGGTTTTGCTTTTGGTTTTGTTCTTGGTCTTGTTTTGGTTTGGTTTGGGTTTTGTTTTTTTTTTTGTTAATGGTGAATCCAAGGCCTCACACATGATACTACACTCTACTACTGAGGTACATCTACCCCTGTCCAGTACATTTGAAACACAATATGTAAGATGTTTTCATTTCAGAATTACAAGTCTAGTAAACCTGTAGCAAAAGTTAAATATTAAAAAGCTTACATAAAGCTATTTAACCATTTTAAGTAGATTCTATACTTTTGGGTTTCCTTGTAGTTGGTCTGAACTTAATTCTAAGAGGGAGTTAGGAGAGGGATGACTCGGGCGGTTTTCCTTTTTGCCTTCTTTAGTGCATCTTTTCTTTTTATTGTACTAAACCAGACACTGTCATCTCTCAGCTGGCTTCCTTAACTCTTGTGAAGGCAGATTGGTGGGTATATTGCTGTTCAAATTGGTGTCTTCTTAAGGAGATAATACCTGAAGCAATTTACTCAGCTGCCATTTTACTCCCAGTTTGTATGCCTTTGAATTGTTTTATTTTCCTCTTTTTTTTAAAACTAAAGGCATTGCAATATAAGCAAAAATATAAAGCAAATTATAAAGCAATAAACTATTTCTTTTTTATGATCCCAAGTAAAAGCAGCTATGCTCTTTAAATTCCCTTACTTCCTAAATTTGTTATCCTAATGTCACATTTTTAAAGGATGAATTAAAAAAATACAGAAGGCCAGGTGTGGTCCATGCCTATAATCCCGCACTAAGAAGCAGAGGACTAGGAGTTCAAGGCCAGTCTAGGCTACGTAGTAAGTTCCAGGTTAGCCAGGGTTTCATAATAAGACACTGTCTCAAAAAACAAAAAAGAAGAAAAGCTAGGTCTGCCTTGTATTAACCACTTATACCTACTTGTGCCTTGCACTTAATCTTTAAGACAGCCGTACAGGGTGGGTGGCTCTGTCTTCACTTATCACCAGGTTGTAAGTGAGACATAGCTAGAGACCCCATCCTCCATACTGCATTGCTAGTGCTTAACGAGTACGTTTTTCTCTTCTTCTTTCTCCTCTCTCTCTCTCTCTCTCTCTCTCTCTCTCTCTCTCTCTCTCTGAGACAAGGTCTGGCTAGCCTGGCCTTTAATTCATGATCTTCTGCCTTGGCCTTCCAACTGCTGGGATTATAGGTATGCACCTCGCACCTCCTCACATGGCTCAGTGGATGCTTTTACTGCATTTTATGGATGAGGCTCAGGGAAACTAGATCTCATGCCCAGGGCCTTGCAACTTATAAACATCAGGACCAGTTCTCAAACTCCAGCATGTGTGCTTTTTCTACTATAACACAGGCCTCTGCTCAGATACCAGGTTTTGTTAGGTCTTTGAAACTTCCATGAATAACAGTTCTTTGGGATGGAAATGTTTGCCTTGTCATTGAATCAGAGTCTCAGGGTGGAGAAGACTTTGAGAACTCTAGGAAGGGAGATGGATGGGGGTACTGGTCCTGAAGATACCATAGGGGTCTAGCAATTTATATTTTAATCTGATGACTGCTTACATAATAGCTTGTATTTTTTAAATACCTGTATATGCTCTTATTATTAATACCATAACAACCATTAATTTCATAATCACTTTTTCCTCCACCACCCAACACTGAAAGTACTTTAATATTACACAGAAGTCCACCAAAAAGGTTTAGAATTTTACCCATAAAGTTTGGGATCCAACAGGACTAAACCAGGTGGAGCATGTTTAGATGATATGTGTGTTTTCCTCCTTGGATGTTCATTTTAAACAGAGAGAGATTAAGAGCATAGCATTGAGCTAGGGGTGTGGCTTGAGTAGGATAGTGTGTGCCTAGCATACATGAGGCCTTGGGTGTGGAAAAAAGAAAAGATGGCATGCTTTTGAGACCACCTGCAATTAAATGTACATTTAGTTCCTTGTTGCATGTACCGTTACTACTGTATTTGTACTTCTTACCCATAAAATAGGGTCATAATAGTACTTATCTTTCAGTGTTGTGAGAATTAAATAGGATGATGCACTTAAAGTTTTACAGAGCCTAGACCACGATACCAGTTCCTTAAACTTAGCAGTTATCACCACAGTAAGCTGAGGTGGAATTGTAGGATCCAGATCCCTGGAGCCAGTCTGCCTGGGTTTGTTCCAACTCTCAGACTGGATCCCTAGTGTGGATTTCACATCTAGATAAAATGGGGCCATTAATAGTGCCTGATTCATAGGTAGTTGTAAAGATTAAATGAGTTCATTGATTTTAAGTAATTACCATAGGATGTGGGACAGAATTAGTGCTCAATA